TTGCCACAAATATGCCGGGTTCAACAGCAAAGCTCTTCCAGAGAATGCATCAACAGCTGAAACTGTTCTTTTGGGTGACCATCAGCTGTCCAAGAGCAGAGTGTCCTGACTGGCTTCTTTGGTAGCTGCCCTCTAATCAGCATCTTACCCTGAAAAAGGAAAACTATTGTTTTCAAAATTCCTGAAACTACTGTTTTCAAAATTCCTTTCCCCTTTGGAATGACTCCTGTTCGTGCCTTTGATAGATGAAATCAATCCACTATTGGTTTCCTTGACACAAGTAAAAGTGTGCTAATTGTTAACTTATTTAAGTTATTCTTTGTCAGAAGTTTATTTCCCTCAAAAGACTCCATTCCTTCACTGCTCTAGCATTGCTCCTGATAGAACACTGAGAACATAGGAGAATGAATGAAGGAATAAGACACTGACATGAAAGGGGAAGTGCACACGAGGAGGACACTGGGCAGAAACCTTTAGAATAATGAAGGAAAAGATTCATGTGACCTAAAAATCACAATATTTCAAGGACAGAAAAATACCAACTTACGTCAGTCATGATTCTAGAATTGCCAGAACTAATTAATGCTCCATGGGATTCCTCTATTGGTAAAGCACAAAATCCAGAAAAGCCAGAACTGGGGAAGGAAAAAGAAGCTTTAGACCAGGTGTGCCTACACGATCTCTTTCTGACTTAAGCAAATATAAGCTTTTATCTTCTCCATTCCTACTTCTGCTCCACACCCCACATGACATTTACAGATTCTAAACTCTCACCTAAAACCCCAAGGTTCTTCAGCAGGAAGGGTTCTGGCAGTGCATGGTTCTGGGGATGCTAATCTGGACCCGGGATTGGACTACTCAATCTTGCCCAGATCAGATCCTCTTCCTTCCATTCCCACCTCTCAGGGCTGAGAAGGTGCCACATGTTCCAGGCTAGAACTTCCTTCATGGGCTCAGGACTGATGAAAATTGGTCAAGACATGGGAGCTGGACAGGATGTACAAGGAATTGCTTGGGAGCTCAAAAAGCTGACTTCTTAATGCATATCAGAACATCCATGATATGGAACACTATGAAGTTGATAAACGCTAACTTGGGGAAAATAATTAAGATATGCTGTCAATAAAAAAAATAGGTTACGGGATGTACAGTATGATTACATTTGTAGAATATATGTATATATCAATACAGAAAGACTGACATTCAGATATTAACACATAAAAAATGTTTGGAAAATTATATATGTACATATTAATAACTTTTATCTTTTGACTGTGATTGCAATGTTCTTTTTTTTTTT